TGATGAGACCGTCACTAATAGAAAGTCATTTCTGCCTGACGAATTCAGCATCATGTTATCTTGCCATTTAGCCTCTACTGTGTGTTTGTTCAGGCTTTGCCATTCTAATAAATTAAGCCAAGTAGTTAAATGCTTCCAGAATTTTCATATAATATGGTCTTTATTCTTTAGAGTTAAAGGAAGATGCTCTTTGGGAGTCTTCCTTAAAATAATGTTTTTTTCTAACTTCATGTTTTATTTATTTTTGTTCCCTGAAGCCATGGTTGCATTTAATTTTTTAAAAGATTTATTGTTTTATGTGTATGAATGTTTTGCCTGCATGACTGTCTGTGTACGGAATCTTGGTGTTCAAAGAAGCCAGGAGAGGGCATTGGATCCCCTGGAGCTAGAGTTATAGACAATAGTGAGATGCCATGTGTGTGCTGGAATCACACCTGGGTCCTCTGAAGGAGCCACCTCTCCAGCCTCCTGGTTGCACTTGAACAGTAAATGAACTTAGTATTGTAATAGTAGATGGGTTGTACTCATGAGAAAGTGCTTCCTGGGCTTATAACCAACATCCGACGTTTTGTTCTGGGACTTGGATCTGTTCCTATGGTGTTCTGCCTCCATTCTTGTATCTTGGTAGGAATGGAGAGATGTGAATTTTTCCTTTATGTTATTTATATAAACTCATACAACATAATTTTAATATAATTCAGGGTGTGTATATTCCTCATGTAAGACATGGGTACAGTAAGCATCAGTGGTTATGTAAATTGATGTGATTTATCTGTTCCCTTACATGTCTAGTGTTCAGGGATCAATGTAAATGCATTGTTGGCCAAATCTTGTGACTGCTCCAGATTGAGTCTAGGACATTGGGAAACACTATGTTCAACTTTAATGGTCAATAGGAATTGTTTCTCTAACGTTCCAGGCTTGCTTATGATTTCTTGATTGGAAGTCAAAGTGGACATTTGGGGACAGAGGTGGAGGTTGGAGGTAACAGTGAGGAGAGTTGATATTGGTGAGGAGAGAATGGAAGAGTAAAACCAATACTGATTTGGCTACTAATTGATGGGTTCAAAGGACTGGAGAGACTGCTTCATGATCCTGAGATCCGAACCCAGCAGGCAACTCTGTGCTGGTCATTTGAAGTCGTGTTGACTCCAACCCTTTGAAACACATTAGGGGTGGTACATGCAGGAACAAAGGGGGTTTTGTCAGGTGTCTTGTGTCTGGTTGGTTGGTTGGTTGGTTGATAGAGTAAATGGAGTGATTAACTTTCATTATTGTTTGCCTGAGCTGTGTGATATACCTATCCAAAGCTGAAAGACTCTCTTTCTACTCTGTTGACACCATGAAGAACCCCTGCTGACTTCTTCTGTCCCAACATCTTTCATCGAAGAAACAGAATGCCAAATTGGTATGAATAAAATCCTGTAAGTGCCTCAAATAACAGCACCTGATGACCAGGGACAGCCTTTTCTAAGAACAGTGACTATGATTAAGAAGTCTGAGCTGTTTAAAGCTCTTTTTCTACTGCCTTCCACATACATGCATTGAACAAGAAGTGGATTAGTGAGCGAAGTTCAGTCTGGTGAATTTGACCCTTTCAACCTCTGTCAGCCATACTTCTGAGGTTGTGGTTTGTATTAACAACAGAATGTCTAGATTATTTAGAGTCGGACAGAGAGACAGGGGGAGGGAGAGGGAGAGATTCTTTTGGTGATGTGTGGCTCCGCTCGAGAATTTTGTGCCACTAACAGCCCTTGTTCTCCTGAAATATTGGTCTGGAGCATGAAGGTGGGAGGTGGAGAAGTAGGAAGGAGCCAAGCTTTCAGGACCTTTGTACACATTTGGAGAAATATACAGACAAATTGGAACTTTTATAGTAATAACCCTGAATCTTCGTAGGGAGGAAAGGGAAGGGGGGATGATATAATGTCAACAACAAACAGCAAAATAATAATAATAATAATAATAATAATAGTAATAGTAATAATAATAACTAAAAAAAACGCAAACCAAGAATCTGGCAGTCTGATCCCGATGTTGATAAGTTGTGTGGTCTTGGGCAAGTCAAGCTGCCAGTTGTAGAGGGAGTACAATAATGCCAGGCCAGCTTTCATAGAGAAGGCTGTCAGGCTCAAGAGTGAGATCAGATGTGAGATGCTGAAAATCATTAGGCAGAAATGTCAGGTTGTAGGAAGTCTGTTTCTCCCGTTTAAACATCCTGACTCCAGTCCTGGTAATAAGAATAGGCACCAAGTTTTCTTTGATTGATTGGAGCTATGACAGGTCTCCTTTCGTCCATATCCTTAACTGGACTGGAGCCTGTATGGATTCCAGGCAGCTCCCCTGCAGGTTTCCTGAAAGAAGATGCAGTTTCCTGTACTAGACAGTATAGGCACTCGCTAGTCCTACTGCAGCCCCTCCTCCGTCTGCTCTCTTGGGGATACAGAAATTACTATGATGCCATCAGTGTCAGCCCCAAGCACCATGCTTGTTAGTAACGGCTATGATAATGCTTAAAGCTCAGTGTATGCTTCAGATAGGGGTGTTTCTTGACAGGTTGCTTAGCAGGTTTCGTCTACTGGGGTTTGAGGGTGAACCTGGTAGTGCCAGCTTTGGTGGCCCTTGTAGTAGTGGCAGCACATAGTGCCGTGTCCTGTTGCAGTGTGCAAGCTGGTACTTTTGTTAGATCCATGCTGTATTCCTGTGCATCATTTAACTCCCGTGGTTGTTTGATGAGCTTGGAGTAGTGTTCAGAAAGTGATCTGAGCTGATTGTAGTTTTTAATTGAATGGCCACCTGACAAGTGTTTTCAAGTTTCAGCCTTCATAAAGGGCTTCTAAGGGAGCCGGTGGTGCCCTCAGCACCATGTAAAATAGCTCTTTAAACCTAGATTGCCAGAGCACACCCTAGATTGGGTTCACTAGAGGCCCTAAAGTGGGTGTCCAGTGGAGCTACGCTGTGTCCATTAGAGTGTCCCAAGCAGTCAAACCCTGAATTGGAAGGGAAGCAAACACAAGCATAGTGTGGCAAGACACTATCTGCAGGGCAGAAAATTTGGACTCCTCTAGCAGAATGGAGGGAGAGATCATCACCCCTTTGTTAATTATTAAACAGCAGGTCTATAGCTCCTTGGGAGGTCACATACTACTTGGTGATATTTTTGCTTGGTTGTGATATAGTCAGACCTGGCTTCTGTGCTTATGAAATGGCTGACACTAAATTGGATAATTTTCCCAAGCTGGAATTACTGCATGATCAGAATATTAATTCTGTTATTTATGCAAATGCAACAGTTTCTGAAACACTTAATTTATGTTGCACTTACAGAACTGGCTGGCCGTCATCACAAAAGACAAACAGGAAAGGCCCGGAAAATCTCAACTCACAGCCTTCCAGGAGATGAGAGTGGAGGGCAAATGGAGGAGATTGTGTCTCCTATTGACATCCAGTCCCTGCTAGGATATTTTAGTCATGGTAGAGGGTTGGGATTCATGATTCTGTTTTGGTTGCTTTTCTTGTCACTGAGGCAAACACCTGGCAGAAGCAATTTAAGGAAAGATATTTGTTGTGGTTCATTGTTTCGGAGGGTTCAGTCCTTCATGGCAGGAAAGGCATGGCAGAGAGGCTCCATGGCTGTGGCAGTGTGGTCGTGATCTACACTTGGTGGCCAGACCAGAAAGCAGAGAGCTAGACTGGAGTCAGGCAGATATCCTCCCAAGGCTTACTCCCAATGGCCCACATCTCCAAGGTCCTCCCAAGGCTTATTCCCAGTGGTCCATATCTCCAGAGTTCTACAGGGTTCCCCACACAGTCAAACCAGCGTAGGACCAAGTCTTTAAAGCATGAGCCTGTTGGGGACATTCCAGATTCAAACCATAACAGAGTTCCCTTGCCAAAAGATAAAGCCAGTCTACTTCCTGGCATTTCCAAAAGCCGGTTGTGCTCAGCAGATTTCTGAAACTGTCTGTCATGGTTTGTGGTGTGAGTGAACAAGGCCAGAGTCACACACAGAGTGTCATGTACAAGCTCCTTCCTGTGCCCAGAGTGAGTCATATCTGCAGAAGTAAGCACAGATATGCTTTTCTGTCTGTTGGTAACTCAAAGGATTGTAGGTTCTCTTCACCTAATGTATCAATAGGTCAGGTGTCCTGTACGGCCTAGAGATGGGGAAGCCTGATGATTTGGCCTTGGCACACAGCCAAAGTGGAGGTATGCTGTTGTGTTCTAGTGTGTGGATGTATGTGTCTGTGTGCTGGTATGTGTGTGCGTGTGCTGGCTTCCCAGGAAGCCTCCCTCAACTCCTGGATAGCTTTTGCAATCTTTGCTTTGATCTGTATTATCAGGCTGGAGCTCTCTGTACTGCCAGGTGAAGGAAGATGTTACCAGCCTGTTTCTACAATGTTTGTAGCGGAAAGATAAATAGTTCATCTTTCTCTCTTCAGAAAATGAGCAGAATCAAGTTGCCATAGTGACAGGTTTTGTATAAAAAACACCTGTCTTTGAACTTCTTTAAAGGATGTTGGCAATTTGATTGTTGGGATGTAAAGTGGCTGATCTGCCGGTTGGTTTACTTATTGGCCGGAAATAAGAGACAGTATAGAACTAGAAGCTCTGGCTTCCTTGGATGAGGAGTAAAATTTGTAGCGCTGACTGTACTGTGTTGGAAAGTCTGAAGTTGCCTCTCTGGAAGACTTGGATGGCCTTTTGAACATGTCTGCACACACACCTGAGTACTCGCCCGAGTTAGACGATTACCTCTGTACAGTTCAAGTGAGGGATCTCCAGCTGTGCCTTGTCATTGTGAGTCATGTCTGCAAAGGGTGAAAGAAGAGTTTCCTGGCAGGAAGCGTGCTGCTGTGCAGAGAGAAATGACTATTGTTAGGAGAGAAACTTGGGAAGAACCAGAATTTTAAAAAGTCTTTCAAGAAGAGCTGGACCAGAAGTGATCTGCAGAGTGTTACATAGACATCTGGGAAACAATTTGGGACAAGAAATGGAAAAAGGTCAAATGAAAAGCCTTGTCGCTTAGGACTGGCTGCAGACTTAGGAAATTGGCAGAGCCAGCTGGGCTTAGAAACCACTGGAAACTCTCACTCACGCCACACCACCCTCTCACCCTACCTTGGCCTCATTCTCCTGCAGTAGGAAGGTATGACACATTCCCCAGGGAGGGTGCTCTTGGCTGTTTGCAGGGTGGGACCTTGAAGTGTGGGAGAGATTTGCTTCCTTTAAGCTGAGATATTGCATAATGTCTCCACAAGGTAGGACATAGTACTTAAGGGCAGGCTTATAACCAGGCCACTTACACATTTGGGCCTCAGGAAAACAGGTTATTGCAAAAGAGTTAGCTGATCTTAATGAATAAACACTCAAGATTGTTATGATTACACACTAAGAATTGTAGATGAATTTGAAAAAAAAACATAAAAAACAAAAAACACTTTCCCATCCTCCCAGGTCACAGTGTATAGACCTAGAGCCAGAGTTCACCCATTGCCAAGAATTGGGATCTTAGAGCTCCACATGTGGGCTGGTTAGTAACCTTAGGCTTTGGGTGGTGGTTAAGTCAGAGGCAGGTCCTCACAAAGGGTGTTAGGTGTGAGCATATCGCTCTATTGCAGGGTTTCTGTATTTAGCTCCTGATCTTTGCAAAGAAAATGAGTCCAACCAGGATTTCTACGTACTCAAACATGTTAGCCAAATATTTCTAGGGTTAATGAGTTGTTCAATAAAATATATGGAAATGCTTATCCAGCTTCTTAGCATCTCCTACATAGTAGATACTGGAAGTGTAATGCTAGTGTAATGTCAGTCATTTGTGTGGTTATTTGTGCTTTGTTACCCAAAGTGTTTGCTAGGAGTTATGGTTATTTTTTTCCCCATAACGCTTGAGAGATGTGGGCAATATTAATTTTATGATTAATTCTATAATTTTATAGAGATTAAGTAGCTTACCTAAGGTGAACCCCGAATGGAAAGCACCACTGATGATAAGATACTTTCCAACTTATCAGAGAGTAAAATGTGAAAAGATATCTTTTTAATTAATGAAATTGTAAGTAGTAGAGCCTTGATTCTATTCTAGATGTTCTACACCTGTCTGATTTCAAATCTTGTGGGTTGTCCCCGACATTGCTATAACACACAAGTACTTACTACCTGTAGATTTTTAAGGCAAATTAAAACAAGGACAAATAATAGACGGTTGCCATGTGTAAGTCTCAAAAGACTGGCAATAATAATAACAGTTGACATTTATTGGCTAAATAATAAAGCTTTTCTTTGCTAGATTCCTAGGAACATTTGTGATCTTTGTAGCTTTCTGAATGGACCTGCTAGTCTATTTTCGCTCTAAACAATGGGGTTAGGCACTCTCTCCCATTTTTGAGAGATTTATTTTTAATTATGTATATGCACGTGTGTCTGTGTCTGTGTTTATATGCACATGAGTGCATATGCCTGGTGAGGCCAGAAAATCCCTCAGAGCTGGAGTTCCTGGTGGTTGTGAGCCACATGAAGTGGGTGCTGGGAAACAAACTTGGGTCCTCCAGAAAAGCGGCAAGCATTCTTAACTGCTGAGTCATGCCCCTCCATGGGTACTTATTCTCATTTTCATGAGAGAAACAGACACGCCTGTACATTGCTAATGTAATCTGGAGACAAAGTCACATAGCTAGTACTAAATATAAATGCTGCGCTATGATAATCAGGGTTATTTTTAATCACAATTGAACCTGGTTTGGGTTCAGAAGTGTATGTTCTGGTGAGGGATCCATCGTGAGAGTTCCCTATGGACGCATGATCTGGATTTATGTAGGGGTCAGGCAGGATGCCCTGGGGGTGGTGGTGGTGCCTTAACTGAGATGGGAATGTTTGTCTGTTCACCCTAGTAACCATGCTGCCAAAAATAGTCACACTCGTACTACATTACAGATCTCCTCTCTTAGTCCTAGGTCTCTTACACTGGCTTAGCATGAAGGAACTGCTTTTATTTATAATTTAGATCTTTCCACTTCCTAGAGCAATTAAGGAATTGCTGTATCTAGGAGATAGTTCAGGAGCCCCGCTAAAGGTTGACCAAGCAGAGACTTTTCACCACTCAATTCTGAACTTAACTGCATTGCTGTTTTGGTCTTGCCTGTGGTGGATTAAAAATATAGATGAAGACAGTTTGGGCGTGAAAAGGACAGTGGGAAGACGAGGCTGGTCCTTCCTCCTGGCTTCAACAGTGCTTCTTCTATTGTTGCTCACCTGGGCGGGCACAGTGCACTTGCACCCGGTGAATGTTACTGTGTGTCGGCCTCTGTTGGTTCTGCCGAGACCTTTTCTAGTTTATTGGCTGCCAGGTCTGTCCAGCAGCCTTGAATCTTACCATTGGCTGCTGGGCTGGATAGCCCATGTAATGTCATATACAGTGACTTCATGAGTGCCCTGTGCAGAGTCCTTTGTGGGTGGGATTACTGTGCTCCTTGACATGTGTCAGAAAAGTCACTAGAACCTGAGTTCTTCAGCAACCCCCATATTTTGTGGCGACCCTCCAGGACTGATGGAATTCCTATGAATTGGTGGCCTAGGAGTTGCAGAGAAAGTAATTGTGGTCTGCAAATTTTACCTCCAGTGACAGGAGAAGGCCACTAAGAAAGGGTGATGATTATATAAAGCCTTATTCTTAGGCTCTCAGGACACATGGTGACAAAGAGGCATCACTCACATAACCTGAACTTGACCCTCTCAGCAAGTCTTTGTACATTTTTAGTGACCCTGTTTGTGAACAGGCAGATGGATGAAATGGAAACGGAGTAGCCTCCGGCCAGTGATGAAGTAAATTTTTTTTTTTGGTTTCTGAAAAAATTTCTGCTCCTCTAGGCCTCCCAGATTGAATGACTAAATGCTTTAAGAGTTAGGCCTTGTTTAAGACCCGTGTACAGAGGCAGTGGCTCAGTCATCCTGGCTGAGTATTTTGGGTAAAACTTGCTGTCTCACGGAACTGAGCAGGGCAGAAAAGCCATCTTGTAGAACTGCCAGTATTTCCAGTTTCATTTGGGACGAAGCACTGCTTCACAGTGTCCATCTGGTTTGCCCAATGTGCATAGATGTAAGGAGAATACCTCCCACTCCTGACACTGACTGGCAGTCCCGCTAAGACCTGTGAGTCCTGAAGATAATGCACAGCATAGTCCACAAGAGTGGAGTGGAGACAGACAGAGTGGCAGGAGCGGCCACGCCTTAGCCAGTCATGTTTTCCTTACAACCGCTTTCCAGATTTCTTGTCCCAGTCACATTGTTCACTCCATTTAGAGCAAGTTGCTTTCTGAAGTTCTGAATTTTTTTTTTTTTTGTAGAAAGATGTACATTCAGAGATAATTTGGAGCTAACTCAGCACTCATCACAAGATTTGTTAGTCAGCATTTTTATCAGTGACCGTCTGGAAGCTGTGGTTGAAACATATCTGGGAGAGACAACTGGTGGTAGTCAAAACCCAGAAAACAGCCTGGAAGCTGATAAAACTTTAACAGCTACATCATATAAATTTACACTTAAAAAATATTTCTAAAATGGGGATGACTTGGTTTGCTTAAAATTTGATGAGGTTTGTAGTTCAGCATAAGCTAAATGTTCAGTGTCTCTGCTCTCAGGAAGTTAACCCAGCCGGGGTCAGCAGATGAATGCATGTTGGTGTATGAGTTTGTAGTAACAGCCCTTTGCTGGCTGGAGACCCCACATCTGGAGTCTTTGCCCTCCTCTCTGTTTAAAGAGGGTTGTTGCCCAGTTGGTGTGTTTCCAGGGCTGGAGTGTGGCCATGGTGTTGACCAGAGGCTTGCAAGTTGTGCTCTTATGGTGTGTCTCGAAGAACTGGAGCTCTAGAGTCCATAGAGGTTAAGGGGGGTCAGGGCCATTGGTATCAGACACCTGTCTGTGTGCCGAGCAGAAGGTCCAGGTTTACCATCTTTGATCCTGAGAACAGTTCTTACAAGGTCACCCAGCTGGAGTGAGGCCTGAGTCCAGGGAGGCAGTCTGTGGCTTCTCCAAGTGTCTCAGAACATACATTGGCCAAGGCTGCTGTGTGGAGGTAGAAATGGGAGGGTCATGAGTTCAGGGCCAGTCTGTAGAGCAAGACCCCATCTAAACCAAACCAAATCAACCATCCAGCCATGCTGGAAAATGTTTGGATCTTGATCCTAGTCACTGACTCTGGTCTTCTTCAGCAGTGAGGTTCCATGGTTTTGTAACTATCCCTGCCCCACTGTCCTGTCCAGCATCATTTAAATCTGGAAGAGGAGTGGTCCAAAGGCCACATGTCATAGAAAAAAAAATAGAGCTGCTGTGTCTGAGGACTGCTGAAGAGGCTCTGGAAACTTATGAAGGTGGTTTGTCTTATTCCTGCCAGGACCTCGGAGCCTTCATTCCTTTGTTTGCTTTGGTTTTATGGGAGTGGATTAAATAGCAGTGATTATTATATGCAAAAAATATTGCTACAGCTTTTTTTTTCCTGATGTGAAAGCTGAGCCTTGCTTGGCAGATAGTGTGCTTTTTTTCAGGAGGAAAGCGTAAATCAGGATTGAAGGTGAAAGATATTTAGACTCAACGCTTTCCTCTTTCTCTGCAGAGGAACAATTGCTTGGCTCCGCAACAGCTCAGAATTGACGATCCGGAATTAAACTTTCTGTTAGTGAGCTTGAATTTCCCTGGATTCAAAGTCTTTTATAACTATTTTGGGGGAGTAAGAGCTTGCACTTCATCCTCATTTGTCTGGTCAGAAAATATGGCAGGCATATTTTTGTTTTAAAGCCACTCTTAACATAAAATTTTAGTTCATTTTTTATATTAGGTGTTATATTTTATGTTTATGTAAATGTATGTATGTAGGTGTATGCTTACATATTTTAACATAAAATTATGGACTTATAGTTGAAACTACTGTAGAAAAAGCAGTTACTTGTCAGGGTTAAACTTAGTGTTTGGAACTTAATTGTGAAGCTTAAGTTGGATTATGAATAATGAATACAGAATATTTTGGAATTAGCAACTTGCTTAGTGACTCAAGCTGCTTCCTGAAGACATCTGTTGCTATTGGATAGAGCATTTTCTTGGCATAATATGCTGGTTTTGAATAATCTTTTTGTGGTTGATAGGCTAATTTTAAGATCT